CTTAGTTTTACTGTTATTTGGGGGGTATCTTCGGGGAATTTTTTTTGAGGGGGGGGGCTAGCCGCCATAAAATTGAAACGAAAAGTGATCTTCTGGCCAGAATCTTTAATTTCCAGTGAAAAATCGGAGGCCAACCTCTTCACGAGAGTCAACAGGCGGCGCTATTTCGGTCCGATTTTGCACTGTTTTCTATGGGCGCGTGGTGTAGTGCAACCTGTCAGTACCCTACAGAGGTACCGGTTCGCTCTACTGTAGGACAAGGGGTCCGGCGGAGTGGCAGTACTGCATCTAAGTTGCATTATAATCTACACTTTGGTTGCGATATCCTTGGAGTTTTACGTGGCGAAGGGGTCATCTAGGCACCGTAACAAACTGACAGGTAAACGATTCAAGTGCACGCATAATTGTCGTGTCAGTGGCTGGCTACCACAGACTGATCTCTTGCCCATCTCTTGTCTGATGAGCAGTGATTCCTATCAAGCCTTCTTGACTTGGCCTCCTTGCCTTGGCCTCTCGTTCATGCTGCTACTGGCATCGAATTATACTCTGGGAACTTGTTTTCCCGAGTTCTGTCTCTAAGTTGATCTTTGCCCGGCCACAAGCGATCTAAAACTAGCACCGGCAACAACGACGCACAAATCATGCTGTCTAAAGTGATATGGAAGAACGCAACCAAGAGCTTGCTAGTCGTGGCTATCTGCTTTGCCGTGGCTGTAGCAACCGAATTTTCACGTTAGGTTGACTTCGGAGAGTTTCAACACTCAGTACACTGAAGCATAATCATGTTGGCATCCGTCTGTCTCGGAAGACAATGGAGTATCTGCGCCTTGGTCAGTCCGTTGCACTTGCACAGCGCCTGCTGTGATAGCCCGATCGGATGAGGGAGCGACAGGTCATTTGGCATTTGCTACAGGTGTAGTGGAAGTGGTAACAGGAGCTGACTGAAACCTCTGCTGCCTGCGGACCCTCCTTTCTTCTCACTGACCTCCTCGGCTTGCAGGACCCCCGCCTTGACAGTAGATTGCCAAATGGTGCGATCCGATGTTGCTGATTCTAGGTCCGCTGGGCTGACGCCCCATACCTTCAGATCGATCACGTTTGCAGACATCTTTGTTGCGGAGGGTGGGCCGTCCTGCTGTGGGCTGCTTCCCTGTAGCAAGCTTGCCATACAAAACATCTTTTGGGATGCTTCCATCGTCCATGCGGCAGACATGGCCCTTCCAGCGCAACCGTCTCTGGGTCAGGATAGCAATCATGCTTAGCACACCCACTTGAGACAGGACATCTTCATTTGTGACGCGATCCTGCCGAGTGATGCCCAGGAGTTGTCTAAGGCAGCGCACATGAAAAGTAACCAGCCTACGTTTTTGGCGGGAGTACAGTGTCCCGGCTTCGCTACCGTAGAGAAGGGTACTCAGAACACAGGTTTGGTACACCCTCATCTTTGTGTTGGTTGTCAGCATAAGACAAGAACATGACCTCAAGCAATTTCAGCATCATCTCAAAACATTCTTCTTCTCACAAGCTTTTTCACTATGAATGCACAATTGAGTTTTTCATTTTCCATCTAGACCGGCGCCTCTGAATGCTTTGCAGATATAGTGCGCCTTATAAATGCATTATTATTATTATTATTATTATAGTGTTGCCCTACTCTTTTTGTTAGGCGAGCCATTGCAGTTGCTGCCTTTCCAATGTGCACATTGAGTTCGGCGTCTAGGGAAAGGTTAATTACTTGAGATAGTAGAGCCAAGGTAAGTAAAGTTGTCGACCACTTCCAAGGTGTGGTCGGCGATAGTGATTTGGGGAGTGCTACTGACATCCTGGCCCGTGATGTTGGTCTTTTCAGGCTGATGGTGAGGCCGAACTCGGAGCAAGTTTCCGCAAAGCGGGTGACGAGCCGCTGGAGTACTGTGGGCTGTAGAGCAACGCCCTGAGGAGCACTCTGCACAACTTCGTCTTTGCTTTTAGGCGGGCCAAGTTGAAGAGGTTCCCGTCACTCCTAGTATGGAGGACAATGCCATCTTCAGACTGTCGAAAGGCAAAGTGCAGCAGCAGGGAGAAGAACACGCCGAAGAGTGTCGGGGCCAGGACACAGCCTTGTTTCACACCGTTCTTGATTGGGAAGGGGTCCGATGAAGATCCGTTGCACTGAACGGTGCCAGTCATGTTATCATGAAAGGATGTGATCATCTTCAGGAGCTTTAGGTGCCTGTGTAGTAGGGTGTAGAAAGCAATTCAGCTGCCCAAGTCGAACGCCTTGGTGAGGTCAATGATGGCAAGAGACAAAGGGCGTCTCTGTTCACGGCACTTCTCCTGTAACTGCCTGAGGGAGAACACCATGTCAGTTGTCGACCTCGCAGCTCTGAACCCACATTGCAACTCTGGGTGTACACACGATCGGCGAGTAGCTGAAGCCTGTTGAGGATCACTCGGGCAAATGCCTTTCCCACGATGCTGAGGGGGGGGGCGGATCCCGCGGCGTTTGTTGCAGTCACTGCAGTAGGCCCTAGGAGTAGGAGGTCGTACAAGTGGCTGAGGAGGGAACTCTCTCTTCCAGCCTTGATGCTTTTTGGTGGGATTCCATCACTTCCTGGTGCTTTTTCACAGGCTAGCGAGTCAATGGCCATGCTGAGCTCTTCGATGGGGGTAGTATATCGAGCTCCTCCATGGTGGCCAGGGGAGTGGTATTCTCAATGGCTGTGTGGGTACGGTGATTATGTTCTCTCTGGAGTACAGCTCCTGGTAATGTTCTACCAATCTCTCCATCTGCTTGCTGCGAGCTGTGAGGATGTCGCCTGAGGTGGATTTAAGAGGAGCGATTTGATGGCTCTAGGACTAAACGCTCTCTTCATACTCTCGTACATGGCGTGGATGTTACCACAGTCCGTGGAGGTTTGGATATCACGACACAGGGTCAACCAGTAGTCATTGGCACACTTGCGCGCAGTCCGTTTGGCGTTATTGCGTGCTACTCTAAAGGCAGCCAATGTTTTCTCGGAGGGCTGTCTCTTGTAATCGAGGAGTGCCGCACGCTTGGCAATGATGGCAGCGATGGCAGGCTCTTCCTCACTCTCTTCCCGAAGTTGTCTGAGGCGGCCTCATGCACGGCATCGCGGATGTAGTTCCACCGCATAGTGGCGCTGTATGTTGGGCAGTTCACAAGGGTGTCGTCAATGGCTTTGACGAAACGTTTGTGCAGTTCGGGAAATGACATCCTGGCGGTGTTGATACGTGGACGACCCTTTCACTTGGAGTGATGGATTCATTTTGGTTGGAGACGCACCTTGCTGCTGACAAAGGAGAGGTCTAGGTCGCAGTCGGCAGTGTGGTAAGTGCAGGTGATAAGCACGTGGTTAAGGAGGGGTTTCCTGGTGATGACGGAATCCAGCTGGTGCCGGTGTTGGACCTAGGGTGCCTCCAGGACACTCTGTGGTGTGGTTTGGTGGGGAAGGATGTGTTGGTGACGCAGAGATCGTGGTAGGAGCAAAGCTCAAGTAGACGCTGTCCGTTCTCATTGAGCTTGCCAATACCGAAGTGTCTGATGGAGCGTGGCCAAGAGCTGTGGTCTGAGCCAACTCGGGCATTGAAGTCTCCGAGCAGGAACAGGGCTTCATTCGGAGGGATCTCTCTGAATTTGGCCTCGAGCTCTACATAAAATGCATCTTTAGCTTCAGCTGTAGAGTAGAGGGTGGGGGCATAGATGCTAAAGATGTGTGTGGTACCAGAGCAGGTCATGAGGCGGAGAAAAAGGATTCGCGCAGTCCCCCGAGATGGAGGCTCAACTGACGACAGGAGGGAGTTACGTACTGCAAGCCCGACCCCGAAGAGTCGGCGCTCATCTGGCTCCAGTCCTAGCCAGAAGAACGTGTAGTCCTTCTCCTTGAGACTACCAATGGAGAGGAGGCGTGTCTCGTGAAGGGCGGCAATGTCGGAGTTGAGCTTCGACAGCTCGCGGTCAATGATGGCGGTTTTCCTGGCATCGTCAACTTGCTGGAGGTCATCAGAGAGGCCAGAGCACATCGTTCTGACGTTCCAGGTGACCAGCCGTAGGGCTGGTAGTTTCATCTTGCATCGTTGTTTGCCTGGTGCTGGGTTTGCAGTCTGCTTTTCGGGGATTTTGTCCTAAGCCCCAACCACCCATTGAAGCAGGCAGACTGTGGCGGGTCAACACCTAATTGGCTGGGAGTTGATGACTCTGATGTATTTGTTTATTTGTGGTAATGTTTATATTACGATCAACAAAAAGAATAAGAAGAAGAAGAAGAAGAAGAAGAAGAAGAAGAAGAAGAAGAAGAAGAAGAAGAAGAAGAAGAAGAACAACAACAACAACAACAACAACAACAACAACAACAACAACAACAACAACAACAACAACAACAACAACAACAACAACAACAACAACAACAACAACAACAACAACAACAACAACAACAACAACAACAACAACAACAACACCACAAAACTGTACAACAATAATAATAATTATTATTATTCGCTTGTGAGCGACTCATCAATTTTTCGC